ACACGATCAAGGGTCAAAGTTAAAAATACCGCTGCGCAATCGTGACCAAAAAAAACACGGGCGACGCGCGACGGGTGACGCACGACGGGCGACGCACGACGAGCGACGCACGACGCACGACGGCAGATATGGAATTCCATAGTTCGCACTAGAGTGCCAGGGGGGACATACACAAATAACGCCCCCAAAATTGCCTCAAGAAACACAAAACATGCACGACTCATTGCTCATCATTTACGCCTATTTGAACTGGAAACTGAAATTGAAAAGACAATTCTCATGGCAGTCATAATCTTGAATTTTTCAGTGAAACAGGTAAGGTCTATCTGTTCCCGAGCGTCACCTGGCGATGCGTTTGTCTCTCTGCTGAGTTTGCTCATTATAACCAGTCCGTGATTTTCACATTTCGTGGTTCAGGGTGCATTCCACCAAATCGTTGGATTTCTGCGCACGAGCTCACTAATATTTTGTGATCCCTAGGGATTTTTCCAATAAGACAGGCCATAATCAGGAGGCATCATAGAAATATTTTTATAACTCCCGAATATGGGACTGGTAGTTCCCAGTTCGGGGTATTTCTTTCACAAAAAGCCCCAAATCACGGGCCTATTTTGGAAAGAGGCGGGCGGCTACATTCAGAAATGAGCTTTTAGTGTTACTGCTATATTGGGGGTTTATTCGTTGAAAGGCTAATAAAAACTTTTTTCGTGGCTAACCCCCATGAAATTGAAACGAAAAGTGATTTTCTGGCCATAATCTTGAATTTCTAGTGAAAAACGGAGGCCAAACTCTTCACGAGAGTCAACAGGCGGCGCTATTTCGGTCCGATTTTGCACTGTTTTCTATGGGCGCGTACTGATCAGTGAGTGCATGCAACCACAGAGTGCAACCTTCATAGGTTTGGTTGAGCGCCCTCAAGGATTGCAACATTATGACGTCAGTATTACTTTTCTGGTTCCGACTACTTGTTAACATTGGATGGACTTCTGCTTCAACGAGTCTGGAACGAGACTTTAGTCAGATTATTTTAACTCTGCTATTCAGAAAACACTAAAATTGTGTCCAAGACGTCTGGGTGCGCTCAGGTTGCTACAAACGATGGTTAAAACTGAAGAGCTTGGTGCTAGCGCTGGCTGGCTGGTTAGCTACAGTTTGTAAGTGAACAGAATTCACTGACTGATGGAGACCGATTGATGGTAAATTATCAAATTTCTTGTAACAATGGAAGTAGTTTTAACTTGTTCAATGACGTCTACTCCATTCGACTCATTTGCTGCCACAGTGACAGTGGATTCACAGTGAACGCAATCTTTCATTTGTCAGGTGAGCTAGATTTTCTTCTACTTTTACGGAAATCTTGAGAGCGTGTCGAGGGGCAGCCGGCAGTCCGTTTTCGCCGAGCTAAGCCTACTGTAGGCCTACTAGATTTTCTGTCTCCTAACTCAGTATCAGGGGTGTAAGAATTCAGCTTTTTAGCTGATTTCAGCTTTTTGTTGAGATTTTGACCCTGGGGAGACAGGTCTGTGACCACAGTGATTCCGTATTACTTTTGTCTCCCCTATGCCCATCTTGCTTGTGATGTATATTGAATTTTTGGCATGAATAAATAATAATAATAATAATAATTTCAGCTTTTTTTGTACATTGGTCTGTACAAAAGTATGGGAACTTTTTACATTTCAGCATTTTGTTGGCACTCGGTTTTCGGCTGTGACTTTGAGTTTACTGGCCACTCACCCCTGCTCAATGCTCCAGTCCATGCCAGTGGGGCCTACTGGGGATTGTGAATGTGGGGACCTCTGAGGCTTGTGTCATTTTAATCTGTGCAAAACTGGTTATACCCCTCACCCCCCCCCAAAAAAAAACAAAGGCAATGCTGTCTGAACTGACCTGACCCTGTCTGTTGGAAATTTCAAATTGTAAATTGTGAGAAAATATGACTTTCCTACTGTACTGATCAACCACCCGTGCAAATTTGACTCTGCCATGGTCCATGTGTCCTAAGTTAAAACACCAACGTTTTCCCCTCATAATTTGCCTCAAAACCCTGCCCTGTTCTCACAACATCAGTTATCTACCTAGGGGAATCCTAGCCCAGGTTGGACGACGTCTACATTACATTGCAACTAACGTCCAGGGTATGAAAGTCCTCCTACTATGCAGAATTGTTGTCAACATTTTTTTCTCACATTTTTACCTCACGAAGACAGCTCAAAATGTCGTTCACAAGTGCCTTGTATCCTGAATTCCATGCTGTGTTGAAATTACTAAATATGCCCGCGAACAACGTATTTTGAGCAACGTAGTATCCATTTGCGCCTCCAAGCTCGGCCCACATTCTGTCAGTTATGCATGTTGTCTAGAGCTAGGTCCAGGTCTTCGCTCCATTACAAAATACATGTAATATGTGGAGATGCGCAGACAATAGACCTAGCTGTATCTTTGGAAGCCTGTTCGGACACGGCCTTATCTGCAACTTCATTACGCCCACGGCCCTTCCGCACATGCATAAGGGGCACTCGGTTACTATGCACTTCGCGCACGTGCGATATGCGTGCTAGACGAACGTGTATGTAGATCGTTAACCAATCGCGACAAAAAGTGTGAAGTTTCGCAGAATTTCCTGCAAAATATGTTGTTCGCAGGCGTATTTAGTAATTTCAACATAGCATTTATAGAATTCAGGATACAAGGCACTTGTGAACGACATTTTGAGCTTTCTTCATCAGGTAAAAATGTGGAAAAAAAAAACTGTTGGAAAAAAAAATTTCACATAGTAGGAGGACATTCATACCCTGGACTTTAGTCGCAAAGTTATGTAGATGTCGTCCAACCTGGGCTAGGGGAATCCAAAATTTACATTTACATGTACCGGTAGGTCTCCCTTCTGTTAAAGGAACACGGTCCCTAAATTCACAGTCCTTGGCCTACCAGTACTCTGTGTGACCTGGAGCCCTACGGCTTTTTATGGCTTCGTAACGCGATTTTTGAATGCAGCCCAGTCAGCCAATTATGTCAAATCGAGGTAGGGCCTACATTTAGGTTTTAAAAAAATTCCTCTTTCTCAATCAAATCTTTCAATGCTTCACCCAGAAAGCCATTGAAAATTATATGATGCATAGAGTTGAACAACTCGACTGTTTGCCTACTCCCGGCAACTCGACCGTAGAGACAACTCGACCGTAGAGACAACTCGACCATTGAGACAACTTGACCGTATGCTAAGTTGTCCGTTAGGACAACTCGACTTAGACAGAGAGACAGCTCAACCAGTTAGATGTCTAACGTGCATGACAGTCACCAGGTCCCCTATTTCGCCACTTACTGTGAAAACCAATGAGACTTGACAGTAGGTGGCAAAATTAGGTTCAGTTTTCAGCCACTTTTTAAAAAACAGAAACTTTGCAAGTCATTTTAATCAAACAGGCATTAAATACAACATTTTTTTAATTGTTGACTATGAAAAAGTACATGTACATGTATTTGGGATCACATGTAGTGAGTGACATATCACCTTGTAAATACTTGTCAAATTTTTGGGCTCCTGTGAGTTTTGACAAACTGTCAAAAATGTTGAAGTGCAAATTGGAAATCTGGCCAAAATTTCTTTTCTAGAAATTCTCTGAGAACAAGTTTTGTACAACAAAGGGTTTCATTTCACCTTTTAAGCAGAACCTGTCTGAGAATGTAGAACTGAAGAACAACACAAACGAGGTACAGTTTTATTTCAAGTGATCTGGAACTAAGAAAAATCAGGAACTAAATGGCTAGGTCAGAGTACAAGATCGATAGATCGCACAGTGATCGATTACTGCGACCACCCTTTTTATATTAAACACCTCAAAAATTAGGCATGTCTATCTACTACGTGAAATTCCTTCCCCCCCTCCTATTATTTAGGCATAGTATTTCACACGATTGTCTCAGCAGGCAACTTAGCTGAGTTGACAACTTGTCTCAACGGACGACTTGTCTCAATGGTCGAGTTGTCTTAAGTCAAGTTGGTGAACGGTTGAGTTGTCGGGATCCTTCCCCCTCCTCCCCCCGGCCTGTTTCTTTAAATCTTTATGATCTTCTGACCTAGCCTACCGTACCATGGCTATGGCGACTATTTCTGGAAAAGAAATTGGAACTTGAAGTTTTTCTCACCACCTTCTCCTTGTCCTGACAAAAATGACCCAAACACGTCGCACAGAAACCATTTAAAATTTTTCAGACCAGTCTGAGGTCAATGAGTGTCAACAAAGCGTCAGGTCATGCAAAGATTCATTCTTGACACAGTTGTCAGATCAGTCAAAATCAGTCAAATTTCCCATATGTGTCTGTGAACTGAGGCAAATCAAGTGGAAGGAATTTTGACTGTTTTTGATGGTTACAGCAGAAGGAGGTTCAAAGCAATGCAAAATTTTATATTTACAGTATTATTTAGGCTCTTACATATCATGTTCAATGTATCACATTTATCTGAGATGATGTTTGAGTATGGAAATCTGAGTGAAAAAGTTGGGCCTTCTCGAGCAGCCCGACCAACTGCCATCTTGTTTCTCATGGACAGCAGAGAAAAGAAAGATAGTGTCCCCCATTATTGGGCCCCATACATCACGAAAAATTTCTGTTTTCCTGTTTGAAGCAAATTGCCAGTTTCTCTTCCACAGTGGCAGGTGTTAGAGTTTCTAACATACCCGGTATAAAACCACTTTTTAATCTTTAAAGGGTATTTCCAAGTTGTTGATGCTTTGTTGACGCTGCTTGTGTGTGTTGATGTTTGTTGACCTAAATAGTGTGACCAGTCTCATCAGCTCATAGGGTTGGTGCACAGTGTGGCATTGTCAGGCCACATCCGTAATAGTCCTAGGCTATGGCATTCTTTCCCCTAGAGCCTTGAAATGTATAGAAAGAATTCCATATAGATGCCACTTGCCACTTTGCACACAAACCCAATGAGACCGGTCCCAAAAATTCTAAGCAGTTTCTTAGTGAATACCATATCTTCACGACTAAATTTGACTTTTTAGGTCATTTTATTGCTTTTGAATGGCTAATAAGCCTCATCGCTAATACAACATGGGTTATTTTACACAAAGATAGAAAGGCATTGTGGGAAGGAAAAATGAGAAAACCTTGCATACAGGCCTGGTCTACATACCGGTATGACATATGGAGAATCGAGCTTTCACATGGTTGGTAACCGCCCAGAAAGAGTTTCTCACAAATAACAATTCTGAATTCACCAAAAAACAGGCTGAGCCTACACGTAATAAAGTGAACATCATCTTTGGTTGAACTCATTTGGGGACTGACCTGTTTTATAAGAATAATAGAAATGGAGGGGTCTTGACGTACACAATCCCAATGCAAGTAAACATTAGTCACGTCCATAGGCCTGCCAGACTCACATGTACTTGCAGAACTCCAAGTCACTACTCTGCGTGACTTCGAGCCTAGGACTTTTTATTGTTTCTGGGTTTGTAATGCTATGGTTTTTGAATGCAGCCCAGTTAAGCCTATAAAAATTGGGGTACAGTTACGCCTTAAAAAAAAGGAAGTCAAAGGTAATAAGAGTTAAATTGAAGGTCTCATAGTTCACAAGACAAACATATCACAGACATTGAACACTTATGAAATAAATAACATTACTTTCAAGAAGAAAAAAACAAAGAAATAAATTAAACAACAAAACACATTTCAAGAAAGAAAAATTATAAAGCTGTGAAAAAAAAATTAGACACACTGTAATATTAATCTAAGAATGATTTAAATTTGACAAACAATGGACTTCCCTACTGATGCTTATTGAATGTGTTTTGCCCAAGGGCCCCTGCGTAGTGGAAGATATGTTTCCATGGTTACTCATTGGGAACTTAGAGACACAGAGTTTACAATTGGCCCGGGTCATGATAGAATCGCAAGGCATTGTAACGCCATGACAAAGATAATGCAGAGCTATATTGTTGAAGCATTTGTAAACTTCACGTCCTTTGATCATGCTATCGTGTTTGAAGATCTTTCCATGAAAGAGCCTGATGCAAATCTTCAGTGTGCTTCCAGGGTGAACGTTCAACATTATTCATGCAAGATGGCTATGCATTTGTTTCATAAGCCTGTCTCGTAAAACACAAGAAAAGTTGGACCAAGCAACATTACGGTAGGCAAACAATGGCATTCCCATAACGTTAGACTTTAACCATAACTTTAATAGTTTCTCTCGATGAAGCAGGTATTGCAGATCTTTTGAGAAAACCTACTATCGGACTGTCTTGGACACTTTCTGTCTTTATTTGTCGCTGACTAGTGCACAGCAGCAATGGGAATACGCTGCGCCA